AATGAACGGGAAGACCCCATTCGTCGTCTCTGTGACCAAAACGATCAATTGTTATCTAAATGCAGCTTTGTCGGAAAATCATTGCCGCTAATTGTGACATTCGCTTTAACAATGTGCAAAAATACCTAGATTTAGAAAATTCGTGGTCTGAACTTACCGATGAAATCGCTGCAAATGATGCAAACTCAGAAAACGCTTGAAATAAACCAATTTTAATCGCACGAACAGAAAAATCAAACCGCTCGCAACAAATTGTCAGAGTAGTATTGTTGTGAAATTTAATGTAAAACGTTTGGATTTTTCACCGAATTTCGTGATTTTTGCGCCTCCCTGTCGCGGAAAAGACGGATCATTCCTTGCATATACATTCGTGTTGACAAGTAATATGAATTGAAAAATGTGATATTCTCGTGTCTGTATAAAGGCGAATAAAAATTTCGATTTTATGATGATCCTTCGGACCGAAAAAAGAATAGACTCGAAGTATAGTAATCCCCCCTTTTATCTACCAATCTATTTACATATTACTCGAAATGTTTTCATCACAGCGCAAAAATAGAGAATAAAAAGCGAACACGTCGTGTCTATTGTATTTGTACGTGGTAGGATACAAAAGCTTAAGACTGTAAGCCATCTTTTCAACTACGTGTTTGCTGTCATGTTCTTTTAACCTCATTTGATAACTGATATCTTTGAGTCATCGTTTCTTCATATTTTCCATTTTTTCACATCATTAATTAATGAGTCATTTGTTACTAAGTAGAGGAAGCATTATTTAACACGAATAGGTTTAGTGTTTTTATGTACAAATTGCTTTTTGTAATTCTATAGTTTGAGTATTTTTCCACTAATGTTAAAAACGTATTTTTAGAATGTAATCGCGCAACTCGGTTTAATGTCATTTCATTCTTCATACGATTGTTTGACTACAGACTTGCAACTTTGTAAATAATGTGACTTTGGTTTATCTTTATTCCCAGGCATTTAATAAATTTCTGTTTTGGTGTTTCCCTGGCTGGCCAGGTGGAGTTTATCCGGGTTTCCTCCACCATTTTTCTCCCCTAATGGGGAGCCAGCTCCCCGTCAACTTAACAGACCTGCCGGAGGGCTGTAGCATATACCAGTAGTGATATTGCACCCCCTCAAAATTCACTATTCCAAATTTGTTGGAAGTCTTTAAATACGAGAACTACAATCTCTTTTTTATCTCGAGCATTTCTTTATATAGACACGAAATTTCCACGTCTTTATACCAACAATCTTACGTAATCATTTAATAAAATTCCTTTATAAATTTATGCCATACGTCTTGTATTAGGCCTGACAGTCCAGGATCTATATATATATATATNACAATCTCTTTTTTATCTCGAGCATTTCTTTATATAGACACGAAATTTCCACGTCTTTATACCAACAATCTTACGTAATCATTTAATAAAATTCCTTTATATTATAAATTTATGCCATACGTCTTGTATTAGGCCTGACAGTCCAGGATTTCTATATATTTTACGCAGAAAATTAAAACTAATGGAATTCAAAATTCAGATTCATTTCAGATTACTCAAAGAAAGAGAACGGAAAAGTTTTTATTCCATCAAAAATATATCTGATATTTTTTATTCATCTAAAACAATAATTAAATTGTTGTATTTTCAATATTTTAACGACCAATTTATCATTTTAATTTAAGATTGCAGGATGATGAAATTAAGAGACAGAAAAGACGGACAATTTGGAAAGAAATATTCCTGCAATGTTCTATGGTAAATCGCGTGTATTTGTGTATTACACAGATGAAAATTTGTGGCCAGTTTTGTAAACAGTCCAGATCCAGTGACCTGTTATCAGTGCTTTTATTCACTCCACTGCTGGCATGGCTCCCAATAATGTTAGAATTAATGTATAGTTTTTCGTACTAAATTGTTATTTTTTTTTTTTGCTTTTAAAGACAATCGTTTTCAAAGTTGATGGACTAATTCCCGAAAAACATACAAATTCTGCAAATAAAAAAGAAAAGAAAAGTATGTCCCTATTCATAACGTATTTGCGAGACATTTCAACAACAAAATTAAACTCATGACTCACAGATGTAGTGTACTTCGTTTATTTTAACCCCCTTTTCTTCTTAAATTTTTCTAACTTTTCATATATAGAAACAGTGTAAAGAACATTACCTTACGGAAAATTCTGTCTTTGAAAGTATTTGCAGAAATTATCTTTACAGATCCTTTTCCTTCATTTATACCAGGTTATTTTAGCTGTATAAACACGTATCAATTTCAGGATACAGAGAGCAATTATAGTAAAAATATTATTTTACGAACACTATCATGTTTTTAATAACGTATTTATAATAAACAAACAATTTATTTAATTTAGTTTGAAATATGTATACATTGAAACCTTCTAAACGATATAANTACTTCGCGTTGAATTTTCATCGATGTTAAGATTATTTATTAATTAAAAGTGTTAAGTTCATTGAACAATTTAAGAAATACATGAAGGAAAAAAATTGAAGAAAGTATTAAATTAAAATATTTTTTTCCATTCCACAACGGATTTTTTAGCTTTAACACACGCATTTAATTGTTGAACTAATAATTGTTTCCACATATCGAAATGTTTTTTCTAGTAAATTCGTTGTCAAAGTTTCCGTTGTTTATTTTCTTATTATTTTTACATGCGTGACTATTATGTCTTTCTCTTTATTACCGTTTTTTTTTTTTTTTAGATGAAACATTGGAGGTTTGCATTTCGTTTCTGCGCCATATATCGCCATAACACAAAACTAACTGTAACACGTGCAAACTAATTAAGGGGTAATGGAATTAAAGTTTGTTATTAAGAAGTTAGTCATCATTTGTTCACCAGAAGTTTCCTGTACCATAACCTCTCTGCACCTTGTAGTAATGCAACCTTCAAACTCCATCTTCCTCCTGTTATGTAACCCTTACGTCAAGCTACCTTGTAACATTATGAAGCCGCCTTATGCCTATCTCCTCTGCGCCCATTTAATTAACGTTTACTGATTATACCTTTACAGTAGTTTGTTTGTCTTGTATAATTTTAAGTATTATAACATTTTTATATTAATACCAACTGAAGTCTCGTAATCAAACCTATATTTTCGGGCAGTCCGGTCGGTTTATAGAATTTAAACAAAACTTAACCGTTCTACGGATAAACTTGTTTTAAATTTTATAAAATTAAAGAAAGTAAAAAAAAAAAAAAATTACAAACGCTTTAATCACAGACGATAATTTTGCTTCGACCGATATTTATTTACATTTTTCTGGAACGGAATATTTTGTCCGTTAGGTGGCTGGAAAGATTCGGGCCGGCGTGGCGTGTAATCGTCGAACTTCGAGTTTCGAATCGTCGAATTCCGTTTATGGGAAAATAAACTTTCGAAGAAATACGAATATTTCGAAAATATCGTATCAATTGTTGGGTGGACGTGGCGATTCCAAGTTATTTAGGCCGTGACCCCGGTANACAATGCACCAGCAAAGACTAAGTAATTTTGCTATAGTTTCAATTGAACATGAAATCTTAGACAGCTTGGATACAAGAAAATTGATAGCAGATTTTGAAAACATAAAGGCAAGAAGTGTTCAATTTCTGTAGATAAATATTTATATGGTTTTACACTTAAGTAAACAAAAATAACTTAGTAATAATAAATAGTTTTTCTTTGTATTTCTTTTCTTTTTTCACACCCTTATGAGACAATTCTAAAGAGCCTTTTTGGCAAGCTCAGCGTAGGTAGTCATAGTTAAACAGGGGGCGGCATAATCGGTATTGCACACGGGCGATCAAACAACTAGCGGTGCACCTGACTTTGCTTATTTTAACCCCTTTTTCTTCTTAAATTTTTCTAACTTTTCATATATAGAAACACTGTAAAGAATATTACCTGACGAAAAATTCTGTGTTTGAAAGTATTCGCAGAAATTATCTTTACAGATCCTTTTCCTTCATTTATACGTGGCTATTGCAACTGCATGAACACGTATCAATTTCAGGATACAGAGAGCAATTATAGTAAAAATATTATTTTACGAACACTATCATGTTTTTAATAACGTATTTATAATAAACAAACAATTTATTTAATTTAGTTTGAAATATGTATACATTGAAACCTTCTAAACGATATAATCTATATAAATTCAAGTTACATATTAATTTTCTCGTGCGCAGTATAAATAAAGCATTTAATTTTATTCAAATGTTTATCGATTAAAAGTTTCGCAGTAATTTAGGCGACAGAAAAGTAAGTAAAATTTTTAATAATTACTATGACTGGGGAGTGCCATAAGGACCGAAAATTTGACGATGTTAGTATAGACCAACGATGCCAAAACTGTGGCTCGCGAGCCGCTCGCTGCTCTTCAAAAGCTTAATTATGCCTCAGCTAATAAATAAATACATTATAATTCTAAATTCTTTTTTTATTTTTATACCAAGAACATGAGGTATGGATTCCAATATTTTCAGGTAGGTAACTAGAGCTCTTACAGCAAAAAGTCTGGTACACCCTTGGTATTGACGAAGTCCGAACCATTACAGCTCGTTGANCGAAAACTCAACGCGAAGCGACACGCAATGGAGAAAAATTACAACACGGGATAAATTAATATATTTTTTCGTACGTAATTGGTTATCCGAAAAATAAGTTATCCGAACAACCCCAGTCCCCAATTGATTCGGATAAACGACGCTCTACTGTACTGTATTTAACATTTATCTATAAATCGCAAAATAATTAAGATAAATAAAATGTTTTAATTTAATTTAAAACGTCGAAATTAAACGCTAGTAACAGGAAAAATGACATATCTTAGAAGTAAAATTAGCAACTAATCCAACAGTTTTCAAAACAATGAGATTTTAAAACAGTCATTTTTATTTCATCACAAAAATATATTTTCATGATTATAGAGCAGTTCGTATATATAATATATATATATATAAGTAATGTAATGTAGCATATACAACAATGACCCATACGTATACTTGAATATACTACAATAGAAATTTCGTTAAGTTTCGTGTTTACTGTACAATGCAATTGCTGTCAAAGTAAGAATTTTTAAAAATTTCATTTAATTCCTAAACGTAACGATTATAAAATCTAATATAATTGACTCTAAATAAAATGGTAGAATAAATTATTTCGATTTACAATCAAAAAGGTTAATAATTATGTTAAACATTATAACGAGATCGTGAATGTTTATATACAGGTAATTCCTGAAGTCTTCCTGTATTTGTAAGGTCGTACAATAACATTGTATGGCCACAATTCTCCTGAACTACTGCTTTTTAAACATCCAATTCGTATTAAAACTTAGTGCACTCATTCATAGCCACGAAGAGTGTAGGACAGTGTTTCTGTGGATGTGGACGTTTTTCCATGTTGAGGGGGCGATTTATAACAATTTATATTTTGGGGGAGAAAAACAATTTTTTGGGCGATATAATTAAACATTATATTAAGAATAATTAGATATTTTATTCGTTATATCGTACAATAATTAAACAAATAACATTATACTAGTCACAGTCACTAGTCTATTCAATGCAGTACGTATTTGGCATTAGCCTTGGCCCTTGGCATCGGAATTTTGAAGTGAAAGGGCGATACTACGTAACGGTTTTATTGAAGGGGGCGATACTACGTTTGAAGGGGGCGACGATTCGTTAGAGGTTGAGAAACACTGGTGTAGGATGTAAGATTAATGTGTTATGGAAATGCAACTTACGAGTATTGAGCCGAGGGAAATATCACCAGAGAGGAAATTCTATCAGTAATCAGCCCCTATTTAGAGGGAAAGGTGAACAAAACCTGGAAAACAGTTATGCACGAACCCTCGACCTCACTGTTTTTATCTACTCGACTACTGTATAATCATAATCACAGGGAATAAATTTATTTCATGATCTAATTTATTAAACTTGATATAAAATATATTATAAAAATTTGTTCTTATTAAATAATATAAAATTTTGTATAATTAAAGCTCAAACTTTATATATATAAATTTCAACTATGCATTTAAAACAATTTATATTTCTTATGCTATTTAGTATTTTTTATACTTACAGATATCAATTTCATCTTGTCTTTTCACTTTTATTCACTACTGTGTTTGGACAGATATATGAAGGTAAGTACTATTTAATTAATTAATTAAATTTACATATCTTTCAGATGGTATATTTTACATAAAATCAATCATTAAGATATAAACAACCATAGAAAATTCTCATTAAGGGTTTTGCATTGCATATTTGTAGAAGCAGTTCCAAGAATTCGTAGAGTAAGTGGAGGAAGAACTGCATCAGACAAAGAAATTTCATTTGCGGTAAGTCAATTCATTCATTATTATTTAGTTCTGGTAAAACACAAGGCACCCCTTTTTAACAATAAGAATAACACCCGTTAAAATCAAGGTAACAAGAAGACATTAATAAATTAAGTTTTAAAACGTGTGTAAATAAATACAATTAAAAAAAGTGTCGTGAATTATATGATTGTGGGCCCAAAGGGGTGATTTATCTTACGTATATTTTACAACAAGATTTATATTTTTCGTAATCTAGGTGTAAAAGTTATTAATATAGATGAATATATGATCTTACAGATAGCTTTATTCCATAAGAATGCATACATTTGTACATATTCTTTGATTACACTGCAAACTGCACTGGGTGCTGCTCATTGCCTGAGGAAGTAAGTAAATGTTGTTATATATTAATTAATATATATATATATAAATTGATTTGATTATGATTAATGACCAATTTAACTTTTTAATTGAACAGTACAAAAGTAGGTGACCTTCTTGGAACAATAGGAAACGGAAATAAAATACTTGGGAAAAAAATATCATTTAGCGCTATGTACAAACATCCATTTTTCAAACCATCGGGATTTCACGATATTGCAACTTTAATTTTACGGAAACCAATTGAAAAACAACAAATGCCTAACGTATCACCAATTGCTCTTCCATTAACGGATAGAGAATTCGTAAAAGGAACGGCTACGGTTGCAGGATGGGGTAGAACAGATAGTACGAAATTATTTATTTTTATATTATTTTATTACGTAATTACATAAATAACTATAAAAATAATTATTGATATTTTCTTCTGTTTCTTGAAAAAAGGTGAAAATGAGTCAGATATACTTCAGATAGCGGAAGTTCAATTAATTGATCCTGATCCTTGGATACACGTTTATCCTCGTTTAGATAAATCCCAAATTGCTGTTATTGCTGAAGGGGTAATTTTATATTCTGTAAGTTTATTTTAAATATCGTTATTTGAAGTCTAAAACTTTGGCATACATTCATATCTTTAAAGCTAAGTATTCTTAGTATATGGCACGCGGACTCAAAAAAAAGGTTCGCCACCCCTGACTTATTCTTATTAAATTATGAAGATATTTGGCATAAAATATTACCGACAAGCACCTGTAAGAAGGTCTCTGTTTGACACAGTGTTATCACGTTTACAATTCTTACTAACAATACTTAGCATTCGGAAACAGCGGGCCGTAACGGTTCTCGAACATCACTTACTATTGAAAGCATCCGTGTGCTTAAAATATAAAAATATCTTTTACGTAGACATTGGCATCTATTCCTAGTGTAACCCTATAAGTATTAGTTCTGTACGTTACAGTTTAAAGTACAATAAACTTATATTTGTACGAAATTTCGTTGACTTGATGATCTATTAAGGAGAAGAGTCGGCAGAGTTCTAAGTGGCAACATTACCAATTACAGTCGATCCACCTATAACACTGTTGATTTTTCCGTTTTATATGAATTCCATGTTGTACGAGTCACTTACATTTTACAAATACGTGTGCTGGGCTGTGAACGGCTCACGTATTACTTTTTATTACCGATTTTCAAACTTCTCGATACCAAATTGTTTTTATTTTCAGGGAGATTCAGGTGGACCTTTAATTTATGTAACAAAAGAAGGATATCAAGTTATAATTGGTGTTTCGAGTTACAGCCTTAGTAATGCAACAATTCCTCACATATTCTGTTCCACGGGAAAACATCTTGAATGGATAAAAGTTTATACTGTTGGAAAACTCACATTTAGAGATGTGTAATAAATTTCGATTCGATAAGATATAATGTATTTAAATTCATTTATAATAAAATATTTCATATAAATAATTATAGATTACAAATATGGCAGTTTTTTTTTTATTTTAAAAGGTTATTTTTTTTTTTAGATCGGCCATACAGATTAAAATAAAATTGCAACCGAACGAATGATTTTCATCCGAAATGTTTTTTAGAATAAGTTATCAAAAGCTCAAATTTATGCAAATTAAACTGTTTTGTAACGATCACACTAACAGCATATTGAAAGAATTCTGTGGGTTACCGTCGTGCCGCGAAATTGTTGGTCGTAGCTGCCTCGGGTTCGATACTACAAACTATAGGAATTTCGGATGTTCGTACTTTAATAAAACTGAAAACACACCGTAAACGTTTGTAAATTAAACGGTTTCCATAAGCGCTGTAAAATTATGCCTATTTTAAATCAACTTTAGGCTACTATCCTGTACAGAAGTTATAATTTTGTGCGTTTAAACATTGTAAATAAAAATGAGTTTATTAAAAATTTGCGGCCTGAAATCTACTGCAAACCAAAATGACAACATTACCGTGGCTCTCCCCCTACTGCTTAGTATCCAACGACTTTGTACAAATTATATTTAAATCTAAACCCACGTCCTTATTTGACATTCGATGACTTGTGCCATTTGTACTTTTAATAAATATAAACATGTACTACAGACTATCACTTGATTTTGATGCTAACTGAAGTATGTTCTTTTACACGTAACGAACGCATTTAACCGCTCAGTGTGCCTTTTTAATTAATACAAGGTATGCTTACCGAGAATTTTTAAAGCAATGTACCGGAAGCTAAAGGTTATAGAAAAGAAATGTTTGCTTGACATAATGTATTATATTAACTGAGCGAAGTGATCAATTTGATTAGACGAAAGAAAAAGAGATAGGTCGAAGAATAAAAGAAAAAGAATAGTGACAGCAGCAGCCGGTATTCCCAGGTCGTCTCCGTCCCAAGTACTGAGCGCGCCCGACGCTCCTATGCTCAGATTATCCGCGAACAACCGGTATTAGTAGTTCGATTGTTTGACTACAAATTTGCAAGCTTTTAGAATTTGATTTAATATTTGAATTTTTTTGATTCATTATGAATCGTGTGCATTTTTTCTTTTTTNTTTATACCAAGAACATGAGGTATGGATTCCAATATTTTCAGGTAGGTAACTAGAGCTCTTACAGCAAAAAGTCTGGTACACCCTTGGTATTGACGAAGTCCGAACCATTACAGCTCGTTGATCCTTTAAAAGAACATTTGAAGGCCAATATTCACAATTACCAATATATGAAAGTCTCCCCCGTAACTTCATTTCTGACTTCTCCTCGTATACCAATTGTTAACGTCTGAGTTTATTATCTTAAGTTCTATGTCTACAAGAAAAATACATCTAATAATTTGGGCACCGATAAAACTTATGGCCTTTTATTTAATTCTACAAATTTTTCATTATTATTTTTAAAAGGAAACTGTGTAATACAAAAGTGTATTACAAATTAACATTTCATTATATATTATTCATTATCGAAATTATTGCTGTTACAAAATGATTATGAAATTATTTTATAAGTTTGCATTTTCATTTGTAAAACTGTATAAAAGGTACTTACATTATTATTTCAGATATCATTCATCTCTTTTTCGTTATATTCTCAAAATGAAAGACGTATTAAGGTATGATATATATGAAAATTTTTGAATGAATGCTTTAATTACAGATTGATTTGAATTTTATAATAATACAGGTAGCTCTCGGTTTATGCCGGTTCAATTTACGCCGATTCACAATAACGCGGCTGCACAATTCGCGATTTTGCTGTGTAATTCCCCGATTTTCCCTATGCCAGACTGATTTTTGTTTCAGTGTTGACGTATTTAGCTGCAACATTGTACATTCGTTAAAACAAAGATTTTTATTGAATATATTTATTTTTTCTATTTAATATTATTGGGTATGTATACATTTGCATTAAATTAATATTAAAATACTAAACGTTTAGGTACCCACGAGTCNACATTATAATTCTAAATTCTTTTTTTATTTTTATACCAAGAACATGAGGTATGGATTCCAATATTTTCAGGTAGGTAACTAGAGCTCTTACAGCAAAAAGTCTGGTACACCCTTGGTATTGACGAAACCCGAACCATTACCGCTCGTTGATCCTTTAAAAACACATTTGAAGGCCAACATTCACAATTACCAATATATGAAAGTCTCCACCGTAACTTCATTTCTGACTTCTCCTCGTATATCAATTGTTAACGTCTGAGATTATCATCTCAGATAAGTTCTATGTCTACAAGGAAAATATTGATACTTCAATGAAAATATCGCATAATTTGGGTACGATTAAAACTTTTGGCCCCTTTTTTTTTAATTCTACAAATTTTTCATTATTTTTTTTAAAAGAGAACTGTGTAATACAAATGTGTATTACAAATTAACATTTCATTATATATTATTCATTATCGAAATGATTGCTGTTACAAAATGATTATGAAATTATTTTATAAGTTTGCATTTTCATTTGTAAAACTGTATAAAAGATACTTACATTATTATTTCAGATATCATTCATCTCTTTTTTGTTATATTCTCAAAATGAAAGACGTATTAAGGTATGATTTATATGAAAATTTTTGAATGAATGCTTTTTATTACAGATTGATTTGAATTTTACAATAATATTATAGAAAATTTACATTTAATTTTGAAAATATTAGTNTCAAAATAAGTTATCAAAAGCTCAAATTTATGCAAATTAAACTTTTTTGTAACGATCACACTAACAGCGTATTGAAAGCATTCTGTGGGTTACCGTCGTGCCGCGGAATTGTTGGTCGTAGCTGCCTCGGGTTTGATACAACAAACTATAGGAATTTCGGATGTTCGTAGCTTAATAAAACTGAAAACACACCGTAAACGTTTGTAAATTAAACGGTTTCCATAAGCGCTGTAAAATTATGCCCGATTATAAATCAACTTTAGGCTACTATCCTGTACACAAGTTATAATTTTGTGTATATTACAGATACCGTTTAAACATTGTAAATAAAAATGAGTTTATTAAGAGATTGCGGTATGAAATCTACGGTATTAGTAGTTCGATTGTTTGACTACAAATTTGCAAGCTTTTAGAATTTGATTTAATATTTGANTCGAATTACATAATTCAGCCATAGCACAAAGTATTTGTGAAAATGAAAAAATTCTAATTAATTAAAGCGGCGCTAATTGCATATGGGATATTAACCATAGCGGGGAGTATCAATTTATTGTATTTATTAATTCCCATTCTGCTTTAGCAATTACAAATCTTTAACAATTCGATTGGAAAATTAACAATAAAAAAAGTGAAAAGTATCTCCTAAAATGAGCAGGAAGACCCCATCGTCTCTGTGACCAAAACCATCAATTGTTATCTAAATGGAGCTTTGTGGAAAAATCATTGCCGCTAATTGCGACATTCGGCTTAACAATGTTCAAAAATACCTAGATTTAGAAAGTTCGTTGTCTGAACTTACCGATAAAATGGCTGCAATTGATGCAAAACTCAGAAAACGCTTCGAATAAATCACTTTTAAACGCACGAACAGAAAAATCAAACCGCTCGCAATAACAATAATCGACCGCTCGCAACAAATTGTCGCAGTTTTATTGTTGCGTCGCCACGAAATTTAATGTAAAACGTTTGGATTTTTCACCGAATTTCGTGACTTTTGCGCCTCCCTGTCGCGGAAGAGAGATTTTCGCGGATCATTCCTTGCATATACATTCGCGTTGACAGTAATATCAATTGACAAATCTAATATTCTCGTGTCTGCGAATAAAAGTTTCCATTTTATCACGATCCTCCGAACCGAAAAAAGAATAGACTCGAAATACAGTAACCTCCTTTTTTAACTACCAATCTATTAATAAAATTGAACTTTTGTTAAATTAAAGTGTCCAAAATTTTACAGATAAAAGCTTATACGTGACAAGGACTATACGTTCTGAAATATAGGGAAGATAATGAGATCTATCGAGTGACTAAACACTTCTCTTCATGGATGGATTTATTTGTCCATTTAAAACGAATTAAAAACTTTATTCTAGTCGTGTTAATTAAGCCATGTATTAGAAAAAAGAGAGCAACAAGTGCGACCTCTAATTCAAGTTGTCCCCTGCTGCTGACACATTTCGTTGAAACACCTATACCAGGGGTGGCCAACCTGCGGCTCGCAAGTCACATGCGGCTCTTTGAAGGATTATTTGTGGCTCTCGATAGATGTACCCGAGTTCCCTTTTCATTTTTGTGTTATTATATTTTAAAAAATTACTATCGTTCTATATGTGTTTCAAAATGTCTTTTAAATTACTAACAACAAATATGAAAGACTAAGTGCAACGTTGTAACAAAGTTCATTTCCGTCCAAGTTAAGAATGATATGACTCATCGAAAACTGCACGAACGAACATAAACAGTGGCGTAATCGTCCGTTATCGACCGACTCCAGACCGATTTTGAATTTGTAAACTGTCATTGCAANCTTATCAGATGGATTTATTCGTCCATTTAAAACGAATTAGAAACTTCATTCTAGTCACGTATTAGAAAAAAGAGAGACTTCTAACTCATGTTGTCCCCTGCTGCTGACACATCTCGTTGAAACACCTATAACAGCTTACTGCTGTTACTGATAAATTTTAAAATAAAATAATTACCTATTACAATGATATATAGGTCCGTTATATGAAATATTTCATTTTCGTAAAAAAAAAAATAAGAAAAATGAGAATATCGTAGTCTTAATTGCGGAAGAACGATCGACATAAAAAATGTCCAATTAAAGCATAATTTGTTTGTCCATTTGAAAGACGTTTTATATGTGGATACCTGAAATTTCAGCTTAATTGATTTCTTCCAACTTATAAAACGAAGGTATTAAAAACCATGTTTGCAACATTAAATATATTTTAATATAAAAATTCTTAA